GCCTAATGTTACTATTAACACTTGGAGCCATTGCATCAAGCCAATTTTTCTGTTTGTTTTTAAAGTTTGATAGAAATGTCACTAGTGGAAAAATTAAGTAAAGAGCACTGGTTAGCCACAGAACTGGACACACCTGGCTGCAAACCCACCGAAAGAGACTGACTTCATTAGTACGAGGGACAGCAGAGTAAAATTTATATCTGAAATATGCCTGCACCAGTAGAATTTGCTGAGGCCACAGGCTCTCCCTGTGTTTTTACAGCTGTGTCAAGTTTGGGTTTCTGACTCTCGCCGACATTCAGGAGTGCTGAAGGAGCTCAGCCTAACAGGTCCCAAAACTTTGTAGCTGAGATTTAGATCTCAGCAGTTTTAACAACCAGGTTTTGAAATAATACAAACTCCATTTGGAGCTGGAGCTGATGTAAATTAGCAGTTAAAATGCTTTACATTCTATCCCTTCTGGGCTCCAGTGGACCGGTATATTCAAGAGCAGATGGCATATTTCAAAAAACCATGGCTATCAATTCAGGAATATAGTGTCCATTTTCTGCATCAAGGGTTGGAATTGTTGCTAGATATGGAAAGGAGCTTAAGAACTGCAGCTTTGTCTGTCAGCAAGTTAAACTAATTGCATCCAACTGGCAATTCCATACAGGTGCTCTGTCATTTGTACCACGGTACAGGAATTGGAATTAAATCTTGATCTTTGATAGATTGCATGAGAGAAAAAGCAGGGAATGGAATTTCCTAACCTTCTAGGATCTATGCAGATGATAATTTAGCACCCTAAAAGTATCCAGTAAAATTTCTTTTCCTTTACATTACTTCTGAGAAAGGCTCAGATTCTGGAGTTTGAAAGCATCGACAGATAACATTATTGACACCTTTTTATCTACTATTGATATATTTGACTACCTTCTTTCAGAGGTAGAATATATACTGATTGCAGGACTACACTACTTGAAAATAAGTAGTTGTTACAAGTCCCTTCATCAGCTCACAAACCCTCTACTTCAGTTTAAAAGAATTATTAGTGATAAACAGATCAAGATTAATAAAGGGAATGTAACACTGGGGTAAGTGCCCTTTATTAGTCATTTAAAGCTCCTTGCAATTGCTAAAGGTGAGAGGAGAGAAAGCGTTCAGTCAGGGTACAGGTATGGGAAGGGGAGGGAAGTGAGTGAAGAAAAGTGAACAAGCATGGAATAAACAGAACCTGCCCATGCAGGGGCATGGGTGAAGTGGGATATGAAGGTGGGATCACTGAGGAAGGAAAATAGGCAATGAGAAGGGTCAAGGGAACTGCTGACATCCTGAAACACCAATGCATAAATTATTTTCACCTAACATACAATAAATACTACAGAAGAGACGAAGAAGTTAATTTGCCTTGACAAAATCACAGAATCACAGAGGGTTTGGGTTGGAGGGACTTCCAAGCCCATCATGTTGAACCCCCTGCCACAGGCAAGGACACCTTCCACTATTCCAGGTTGCTCCAAGCCCTGTCCAGCCTTGGACACTTCCAGGGATCCACAGGCAGCCACAGCTTCTCTGGGCAACCTTTGGGCCCTGTGCCAGTGCCTCACCTCCCTCACAGGTAAGGATTTCTTCCACATATCTAACCTAAATTTCCTCTCCTCCAGTTTGAAGCCCTTCCCCCTTGTCCTGTTACTGTAGTTCCTCAAGCACAGTCCCTCTCCAGCTTCCTTGTAGCCCTTTCAGATTCTGGAAGGTGCTGTGAGATCTTTACACAACCCTCTCCAGGCTGAACACCCACAATTTTCTCAGCCTGTCTCTGCAGGGGACTGACTTATGAATAATGACTGAAAGATCAGGAATAACTAACAGATGAAAGCAAAAAAAATCACTAAAGATTAATGAAAACCCTCCCTATGCCTAAATATACTAAATAAACACAAAGGTGTAACTGCTTTGGAGATCAAGCCCTGAAATGTGCAGGTCCTTCATCTGAGCATCTGCTATGGCCACATAAAAGCTGTGTTAGCACCAGGCTACAGTCAGGAGTGTATTAGAGGAATCACAGTATTGCAAACTAAGCAGGCTCGTGATTCCCACTGCAGGGTCATTCCTACAGACAAAGACTGTGAAATTTAAATTCAAGGACAAACTGACCAGATGCCCAACCTGCCAGGGCAGGGAATGAATGGCACTGCAGTAACTCCAGAGCTCCTTGCAGTTCCATCACACAGCAACCACACCATTGTAATACTCATGTGTTAACATCTGAGGGTCCAGAGTGGATAAAAACATAGGGAACTGATGGGGGTTTTTATACTTTGGGGGATTTTGGGGAGCCATGGAATAATTTAGTTTAGAGAAGTGGAAACACTGTGCTTCCCTTTACAAAGAACTGACTGCAAGCACTATCTCTTTTCCCCCTAAATTTTACTGAAAAACTCTCCATACAGGTGTAACTTGCACCACGCTTCATTTTGGAGTCCTGCAATGCCTATAGGGGCAGCAAACAGCCAGCTTTGCTTCTCTTTGCTCTCTGCTGCATCCAGCCCTGCACAGAAAACTACAAGATGGTATTTGAGGTTCACTCAAATAAGGCAAAATTAAGGTCAAAAGGAACAGACAAAAGAAGAGCAACCTTAAATTTACACCCAGAACAAAGATCTGAGCTGTGTGTAGTTCCTAGAGAAAGCAGAACCAGCCACTGATATGACATGGAAGGCATTGGATAAGGACAAAATTGCATAAGCTATTTCATTCAGTCTTTTCCCCTGGTGCCATCATCTGATTTGTCTTGGCTCACTCACACTGCCCTATCAGAAAGAGGAGATTCCCATCCTGGAATTTATGTAAGCACGTTAACATAGCAAGAAATTCTCAGATGCATGAATTGATGGATTTACTCCAAAAGAAGATTAAGAGGATGTCTTGTCTTTAAATGCAACACGTAACAAAGCGAAGCTACGGAATTCCCAACAACTAGGAAAAAACCCTGCTGCTGATGGGATAGCTGAAGTTACACCAGAATCAACACTTTCTAAAACAATATACAAAATAAACAATCAGAGAGACACTTCCTGAATTACTAATGTGATTGCATCTCACATCCTAACTCACTAGTTACCCTGGCAGCCTCTCCAAGAGACCTGACAACTATGGCTTGACAGCATGTCATTACTGCTACATGGAAACTGTCACTTCTCTAACAGCCTAATTTATTTTAATCACAGACAAACCTCTATTTAATCACTGAGCAGTTCTTTTCCTCTTCCATAACACAGGAGACCTCTCCCAGCCCTGTCCTCCCACAGAAGTGCCCTCAACGTTGGCAGCCTCACCTGTATCAGGTCTGCTGTCACTTACTGCCACTGCTCCTGCACTGCCTTCCCTCAAGGCAACACCAACACAGGGCTTCAAGGCCAGAAATGACCATTCCAACTAACTGTCATAACCTTCCTCAGAACAGGCCAGAAAGATTCAACCTTGCTCTTCCTCCAAACTTGCAAATGAACTCTCCTTGGAGCTACTCTCTCCTTAGAACGTTTCTTTTGTGAGAATTTGTATTGAGAATACAAAACAAAAAATATACTTATGACTAGTTATAGTCATGTACAGGAGTTTGACATAAAAACCTTGTTGATTAACTTTCCTTTTACCATTTTAGATACAGAGAAAATTCAAAACTCTGCTGGAATTACTGAAGTTGTGATTATCAATTTGGCACCAGTCACGTTTCTCCCCACTCCAGCTGCTCATTCCTATCCCCAAATGCCCTTTCTGTTACAGCAGAGAATCACAGAATCACAGAATCAACCAGGCTGGAAAAGACCTCTGAGATCATCAAGTCCAACCCTTGATCCAACCCCGCTGTGGTTCCCAGACCATGGCACTGATGCCACATCCAGTCTCATCTTAAACACCTCCAGGGAATGGAGGGTGGTGATTCCATCACTTCCCTGGGCAGCCCATTCCAATGGCTGAGCACTCTCTCTGGAGAAAATTTCTCCCTAATATCCAACCTAAACCTCCCCTGGCACAGCTCAAGACCCTGAGCCCTCTTGTCCTACTGCTGCTTCCTGGGAGCAGAGCCCGACCCCCACCTGGCTCCCCCCTCCTGTCAGGGAGTTGTAGAGAGTCAGGAGGTCTCCCCTGAGCCTCCTCCTCTCCAGGCTGAGCCTCCCCAGCTCCCTCAGCCTCTCCTCACAGCACTTGTGCTCCAGTCCCTTCCCCAGCCTCGCTGCTCTTCTCTGCCCCTGCTCCAGCCCCTCCATGTCCTTCCTGAGCTGAGGGCCCAGAGCTGGACACAGCACTCCAGGGGTGGCCTCACCAGCGCTGAGTCCAGGGGCAGAATCCCTGCCCTGCTCCTGCTGCCACACTGTTCCTGAGCCAGCCCAGGATCCATTGGGCCTCTTGGCCACCTGGGCACACTCTGGCTCCTGTTCAGCTTCCTGTCCATCCACACTCCCAGCTCCCTTCCTGCCTGGCTGCTCTCCAGCCACTCTGTCCCAGCCTGGGGGGCTGCCGGGGGTTGTTGTGGCCAAAGGACCCGGCACTTGGCCTGGTTGAACCTCATCCCATTGGAATCAGCCCATGGATCCAGCCTGTCCAGGTCCCTCTGCAGAGCCCTCCTGCCTTCCAGCAGATCAACACTCCCCCCCAACTTGATGTCATCTGCAAATTTGCTAATGGTGGACTCAATCCCCTCATCCAGGTCAATAACATATCCCATCAATAGCAAAATCCATTTCTGCAGTCACATGGCAAACCACGTGGGAAATTCCTTCATTTAAACCAAATCAATATCTTCATCCAGGCCATGATGCACTTTCAGAAACAAGCTCAGTGGCTCAATAGAGGGAACGAATGGTCAGGAGTGAGGGCTGCATGCACCAGCTTAAGCCAATAAAGAAATAAAGGAGCAGCTGCAGGTTGATTCTCAGGCATTCTTCTAAGAAATGCAAAGTCACAAAAGCATTGAAAGATGGGAACCATCAGGATTACCACCAGCAGAGAGAACTTACCCCCATGACCTTACCACGCTGCTCAACATCCTCCCACATGCAGTGGACGATGTAGCGACACATGTACTTGCCCGTGCGGCCCTCCTGCTTCATGCGCACCAGACACATCCTGCAAGGACACACCCCCACAGTCAGAGCTCCCACGGCTTCTTTCAGAAGGAAAGAATAAATGACATATATTTCAGCTCATTTAAGATTTTCCTCGCAGTATATGTTTGTGGTCAGGAAAAAAAAACACAGGAGGAGTTGTTTTTTTTTTTTAAATAAACTCTTCTATTCTATACTCAAGGAGCCGTATCTGCTGGATTTTGGCCAGTGCAGCCATGGAAGAGTGCTAGTGGGCTCTATTCTTCTTGTCAGTATTGTAATCTAGTTCAACACTACTGTAACCTAAATTCCTCAGCCTTAAGAACATCTCACCCTTCAGAGCAGGAACACATGGCTTGTCTAATCCCAGGCTCTGAGCCAGCTGCAGCTCAGCTTGATGCACTGAAGTGCTGTAAGAGCCCCAACCAGCCAAGCTGGGAAACCTTAAGCAAGTTACAGGCTTTGACCAAATTCACATTAGCAATGTCCTAAATTATTTCAACTACAGGGGTCTTTGGATATGTGTCCAACCACCTGGCAAAACCCCCACATGCAGCACATGTGAGACCAACTCAGAGGTCTGAAAGTGCATTGTGGGATCTTAATGAGAATATCAGGTTGTTTTACTTTTGTTTAAAAGCATTAAAGCCACTCGAACTTCATTGCTGCTGTTCTGTCTACAAAATAAATCACATGAACAAACGTTTTATTTTGCCTTTTTTATGACATCTGTAAAGAACATGAACTGAAGCCCAGGCTGATCCCTCACTGAGCTGGGACCAGTCCCATCACCTGTCCCACCTCCTCTGCCTCACAAACCAGCTCTGCTCCTGTGCTGAGGCACAAGTGCCTGCCCTGGATTGACTGAGTGACTGTAGATGAGATGATGCTCAAACACTGGAGCTGAGAGAAGTCATTGCTTTTCACAGACATGCTACAAGTGGGAAGCTGCTCACAGGTGATTCTTCTCACAGTTCATGTAAAACCAGCAGAGCTGGGGGCCACTGGGAAGCTGGTGCATATTAACAATGGTGAATGTGCCACAAGAGCTGAGAGGTAAAAATTATTTTTTTTTAATAGATTTGTTTCTCTAGTGTATATAAGACCTACAGGCATTAAAAGAATTTGGTGACCTGTGAATGCCAACTCAACAGGGAGAATCATAAACACCTGAAGTGCGTCCTGTAAAAGGACAGATGAAAATCTTTACGATGGATTTTCTTGTCTACTGACTAGTAAAGACATTAACTTGCAAAAGAAGCAAAACTTATTGCAAGTGATAGTCACAGAAACAAATGAAATAGAAGGCAGCAAAAACTTCAGTCCCACATTCTTCTTTCTGGTCAGAACCAGACTTTTCAAGTCCCATATAAGGGCCACTGAACTGAAACATAACACTGAAGGAAGAAAAGCCCACAGATCAGAATTTGATGCCTAGATGCAAAGCTGCTCAAAATGACAAGAGACAGCTCAAGCTCCAACACCAGCAGGTGCAATGAGGTGTGAGACTGGAGAGAGGGACTGAGGCATGGCAAGGAGACCTCCAGGGTGGAGGAACTGAGAGATTCCAGGGAGAGGACAGGAGAAGGGCAAGGGCAGTCAGCCAAGGGAACACTGGGAAGAATGTGGCAATTTGTGTCTCAGGAACCAGAGCTGTGTAAGGATTCCCAAGGTTTACATTACAGCAGTGACAACTCGGTGTCTGTCCAACACCACCACTGTCCCAGCAAACAAATGCAATTAAGATGGTATCAAAACCAAATCCTCACTTGTTCACAGAAAGATGACAAAGCTTTCTGCTCAAACAGTGGTCAGAGAACAGCTGTCCAGGTACCAGCCCTTCCACAAAACAAATGCACAAAGAGCGTAAAACTTTTGTTTTACTTCCAGTTTCAAAACCTTTGTTCTTTTTGTGCATTTACATAATTGAGCTGTACAAAACAGTGAATTGGTAAGTTACTGAATCCAAAATTTTTACACACTCTTAAGTCAAAAAAACTCAGTTTAAAGGACAAATTTTGGGCTAAAAAAGCTTTTTTATACTTCTCTTGCTGAATACACAAACTCAGGGGTGAAAAAAAAAGAAAAATAAAATTAAAAAAAAAAGAGTGGCTTGGCAAGAAAACCTCCTCCCAAGCACAAATAGTGGTTCCTACCCTGTGTGACTTTAGTGGTGGAGAAGCAGGAGGAGAGAGTGGTGACAGACCAACAGCCAACAACTGGTCAGTGATGAGCAGGGCTGGAGTGGTGTTCAGAGGAAAACCTGCTACTCACAGAGCCTAAAAGGCAGCTCTGTGTTTGGATGCAGTGCTGTCACAGAGCTGTTCTGCAGCACCACGAGTGAGATCATGGAATTTTGCAGTTTATTTGAAAGTTTGGTAGTTTGTTACTTCACCTGCTGTCTGAGGTTTAAAAGACACAGACTCTTTAAAGCCTATAAACCTCCAAACTAGATCACCACGGTGTGAAACATTTTATTGTTTCACTACAGAATCTGTGCTTTAGTTCAGTCAAATACTGACTCATCTTCATCAAAAGCAAAATTACTCCAAACTATCTTTAGAAAGCTGTCTACCTCACACTTCTTGGGTTGGATAATTTTTGCTTTATTTGTTATGCAGAGAGATTACGTTAGAAGAAAATGATATGAAAGGATGACTGAAAAGGAACAGGAGCATCTGTAACCCAACCCATCTCAGCTGAGATGTTGAGATTTCCCACAACAGCCTCAGCTACAGCTGCTTCTGTACTCCCAGTGTGCCAGCCTGGCTTGAACACCAGAAGTGAGGGTTGGCACCACTCTGGTGACTGCCCTGTGCCATGCACTGAGGGGAGATGATCCACTAAGGGCAAAGCCCACTTGGAGCTGTCCCCTGCACCTGGCCACTCATTCCTGTATGAAATTCAAGACTAATAATAAAAATAAACAAGGGAACTATGATAGAGATGAAATTGGTATAGGATAGGCACAAATTTCTAAGATCAAAGCTACGTAGGCTTCTTTTGAAGAAGGCCAAGAGTTGCCAGGCTTTGAGCTGGTGATGTTAAGGAGAGATTTACTGAGGAGAACTGAAATTCTCTTATGTGTAGGATATGGTGGACAGGTTGACAGCAGTATCCTACACAGGCAGGATAGAACCAAATTCCTCTGCCTCATGTGACAGCAGTGAGAACTCCAGTGTGGAGGGCAGCACTGAAGTGTGGGGTGTGTGAGTCTGGCTCCTCTGTGTTCCTGGTGGCTTGACCTAAGGAGCACTGTCATTCTGGACCTCAGATGGGAGATCCAGTTTGATATAAAGCTCCTGAACAGACTTTGCCCCAGTTCTGCTGTGACATTGCACTGCAATGAATTGTGACAACGAGCACAGTTCTGAAGTCACCCCAAGGAGGTTTTGCATGTTCTCCTGTGCCCCAGCCTGGCCACCCACTGCTGTACCTCAGCATGGACAGGGCTCTGCTGGGACCAGCTGACAGAACCAGCCTGGCTGTGCAGCCTCCTCTCCCCTGGGGCCTTTGCTCAGGCCATGGTAGCCCATTCCCTCATGTTAAGGCAGAACCAACTAAATGACTGAGACATTCCAAATAAACTTATTCCTAAAATCTCTCTCAAGCAAAACTATTCTGATGCAATTAAAGCCCTCTACCATGAAACTGAGTCCCTTTCTTCTGAAGCAGCACATTTCAAAAGAGAACAGTGTCCTCAGGCTTCTATATGCAAATCAGAGGAATCTTTTCCTGCAGGAATTGTTTTCTACATATTTAGTGGTTCTTGTTCTCATCTCGATCAGCCTGTCCTCAGGCTGATCAAAACCTTGCCAATTGCAGATTTCCTTAAGAAAAACAATGCTTAGATGAACTTTTGCAACAGGTCTTTGATCCTTTCAGAACAGGAATTGCAGCACGACTATTTTGATCCTAAATACTTCAGGGATGTCATCAGACTTGGTCTGGTGAAAATATGAAGGCAGCTCCAGGTATCTACATGATAACTACTGAAGCAAGGCACTTCTTAGCAGCCACCCAAGTAATTTCTTTGGCAGTTTGGTAACAGCTCTGGACTCTGCCAATACTCCACTCACACTGTGTGGGAAAATGCAAACCAGCAGTGGAGATGAACAGCTTGAGATTTTCTAAAGGTCTGAACTTCCAAACATAAAGCCAGGAGTCCCCCTGACATCAAAGGTGTGAAGTAACAGAAACAGCCTATAAAAACATTATATCTAGGAAAGCATAATGATACATTGGTTTTCTAAATAATATTGATGGGTTGATATTTTTTAAAGCATGATTTTAGCACTGTCTTGGAAGGCACTGAAGTGTTTCTAAAGGAACATTATCTGAAAGAAGTTTGCAAAAGCAGAAGCTAAACACGAGAGCCTGAATTCCTCCCTTTCTGACTGGAGGTAAGTAGAAAAAATCCTATTCAGCAGACAAGAAGAAATAAGAGCCAGAGATTCAAAGAGGACCCACAAGAATCTGTAACATAAGAAGTTATGCCCTGACAAGCACCTTAAGTCCTGTGGTGGAGGGAGAAGAGATTGATCCATTGTAAATACTGCTTTATCATAGGAGAGATAGTTAAGATTATGTATATGATGTATTGTAATATTGATTTGTATAGTGCATTGTAATATAATTCCCTTCCCCCCATTTTGAGTCTCGTGTTGTGTCTGGAAAACCCATCTCACACTGGGGTGAGATGTGGGAGGGGGGCTTGGATTCGGGAATTGGATTTTAGGGGTCTCAAACTACGACAGTCCATAAAAACTGGGACACAAAGGGCACAGAAAAGTTGACTAGAACAGGCTGGGAAATGACAACAGCAAGAAAGGAGGTGAAGTTTATCAAACTAGGAAAAATTCTCACCTTCTCCAGCTCCAGAAGCTACTGTAAATCAGTGGAAACTAAAACCCTGAATAAGAGGGAAGAAGTCAGTACATCAGAGAGTGATGCAGATTGCTCTGCAAGGGGGAGCAGATCATGATCAAAATCTCTGTGGCACGTCGTTGGCCACCAGCTCAGGAAGGTTTCAAGCCTCTGAGGCAAATGGTCCAGCAAGAGAGACAGGATGGGAGCCCTCAGACAGGGTGGGATGTCCTTGACCCTGCCAGAGCCAGCAAAAGCAATAATGTTCCACTCCCACCTTACTGAGGTCAAACTGCTTAAAGAAAGAGAATCCCAGAGAGCATGGCAATAAACCTGCCTGGGAAAGCAAACTGTGCCATGGCAGGATGTTGGTCACTGAGCTCAGCAGAAGCAAAGCCTGCAGCATTTCCCAATGACCCAGGCAGTGAGCAGGCCTGTCACAGGCTTGTGTGTCCTGGAATATCAAACTGGATCTCCCATCTGAGGTCCAGAATGACAGTGCTCCTTAGGTCAAGCCACCAGGAACACAGAGGAGCCAGACTCACACACCCTGGAAAAATTAACCTTCAGTGCTGCCCCCCAGACCCGAGTTCTCACTGCTGTCACAGGAGGTAGAGGGATTTGGTTCTATCCTGCCTGTGTAGGATACTGCTGCCAACCTGTCCACTGTATCCTACACATCAGAGAACTTCAATTCTCCTCAGTAAATCTCTCCTTAACATCACCAGCTCAAAGCGTGGCAACTCTTGGCCTTCTTCAAAAGAAGCCCATGTAGCTTTGATCTTAGAAATTTGTGCCTATCCTACACCAATTTCATCTCTATCATAGTTCCCTTGTTTATTTTTATTATTAATCTTGAATTTCATACTGTGTATCAATCACAGGATATATTTTCCCATCAATGAGAAACAAAAATGATGTGAAAAAGTGTGTTCTTCGCAGATTCATCTTACCTCTTTTTGTTTTTCCCCAGACACTTACAGTTTGCTTTTCAATATTTATTGCACTAGTTTTCCAAATATCTATATGAATTTTTAGCTTATCAATTAATTTTTAAAGCCTTTTTCCCACAGGGAAAAGTAGGAAATAAATAAACTGCAAATCTCAAGGGTCTTCCTTCCTTGATTCCACTGATTTCATTCACTGATTATAATTTCAATGGTTCTGCTAATTTGTTCACTCTTCAGTGTAATGAGCTGCCCCATCTTTCAATATATTGAGGAGACAGGAAATTAAAAGGAGGGAAGGGGAAAAGGAGGAGGCAAGGAAATAAGGGGCCTTAAGTGCAGCTATTTCAGTACAAACTTCCTTTCAGCCTTTGGACAGCTGAACCCCAAGTCTATGGACTTCAGTTCCCTGAAAGATCTGGCACTTACAAAAATGACTGTACTCCCTTGTGCATCCCCTGACCTTTACAAGTGTGTAATGCTAGATGAAAACCTGATTTTTTTTGGCTACTACTTTCACAAACGAAAAAGAGGAAAAAAAATTCATGTTTAAGGTGTCAGATATTTTTACATGCAGTCAAGCTGGCATTCACCCCCCTGCATGTGCCTTTCAGAGGTGCAAGAGTAAATGCCAGTGCTATAATTTGTTAAATGCTTCTCATCACCACAAATTCTCCCAATTTAAAAGACTTTTACATAAATTTAAACTTTTCCTAAAACACCCAAGTAAGATTTTTCCACGCAGCCTGAGAAAGGCTTTTAGAAAACTCATGGCAAAGATCATTCCACTAGTGAGGAATTTTAAGATGTAAGAGATGTCAGCTTCTCTATGGGACTTTTTGTTCTTCAGCAGAAAAGTGCTGTAATTCAGTCATCAGTAAATGAATAAATCCTCTATTATCAACAAGCACAGAGCCTACTTTTTCCTCACATTAAGATACATATCACTCTATTCCTGAAAATAATTACATTACTAATTTGATTTTCACTTACCAGACATGAAGCTGGGCTACTAGGAACCATGAATTCAAAGTATCAGGCATTTGGCACCCTTGATGAGAGGGGGAAAAACACAAAAACAAAACTAAATATTAATATAAACTCCATCACATTTTGTCCCTAACAGAAATCCACTACACAAAAATCTAGATGCACTTTGGTAATTTATTTTCAGTAATAACAGTACATATACATTGGAGGAAATATCATTTACTGTCATGTTTGTGCTTAAACTCTAGAACATGCACCCACAGGACGCTGTAGATTCTGAAAGGTTTCAGGTGTTTGGGGCTCACTTGGATAACATTTATGGGGGGGGAAATTAAAACATGGAGAAGGAAACAAACATGTGGCTTCTAGGTCACAAAGTCCCAAAGCAGGAATGAATAACAGGGAGGAATCAATGGATGCTTTGCTCTGTTCTTACACTCTTCCTTTATATGTGCTGCTCTCTCCTGCCAGGGACAGAGTTCTGTGTCTTTGATTCCACTGTCAGGGTAAATCTGTAAATCAGTAAATCTGCCCTGATTTACTCCAGCACAGCCCCCAGCACTCTGAGTGTACCTGTCAGGCTACATTTGGATTAAAACCACTGACCAACTACACAAACAGTCTGTTTGCAGGTTTAGCTCTACTCCCACAGCCACTGGTTTTCCCAGAGCTGGTTTGTCCATATGTGTGCTCACACGATGGATCCCCACCTGCCCTGAGGAGGAGAGGCTGGACATTCAGGCTGTGTGGCACAGAAACCATATTCCTCTTCCTCATGCTTGAAAAAAATGGACCTGTGGGTTCTGTGCACACAAAGTCCTTCAGTTCCTGTCAGTCCTAAGCCTCCCTCCCAGGCACTCACCTCTACATCTCTTTCCTGGAGAAGTTTTTAAGGGAAGTACCTAATGAGAAGGATCTGACACAGTCGCCTTGGCCTACCCAGCACTTGGCCTTGTCTTCTGGGCTGCTCAAACCGAGCTGGAAGAGGGCCAGAGAGCATTCAGGAACAGGTTCTCCAGTCAGATGTGCCCCAAGGAAGTCAGCCTTATCTTCCCTGTGTTTAATATATTCCTTCCTGACTCCTATACTTCCTGGCTCTTAAGTATTACCAAGGAGATTCACCTGGATCATGAAGCAACACTTTCACAGCCTCTTTCTTTATATTTGCCAACTCTGGTCAGGCAACCACCAGAAGAACCAAACAAATCATGACTATTCCTCCCTCCCCTGAGAGATGACTCCATCAGTCCTAGGAGGTGCCAAGCTCCAGCATCAGTGCCCATACATCACCTCTAAGACAGTACAAAGACACTAACAGTCTGTGTTTGGAGATTAAACACAAATCTCCCTCACCCTTCTCCCCTTTTGGCTCTCTCAATCCTATTAGAAATAGTTCCTGTGCCTAGAAACGACTACTTTGACCAAAAGCCACGCCAAGGCATCTCTAACTAGGGCAGGAGCACACAATGCCTGCATTAACCAAACCAGTTCAGCCAACGGAGGTTCCACAGGCAGGAGTCAAACACCCAGTTCAGACAGAGGTTTCTCAAGGAGGAGTTCCCAGGGATCAGTCCCCCACCACAGAAATCACTCTGCAGTGGAAAGCAAAGCTCACACCTCTACTCCTGGAAACATGGAAAGTTTGTAAAGACCTATTCAGTACCCAGGAGGGAAGATTTTTTTTTCTCTAACTTTCCAAGTGTTGCGATTCTATTTTTATAAATCATTTTTTAGCTTCTATATTAGGACTGTCTGCATCGTAAATTTAAAGGAGGGGTGGCTCCTTTAAAGCAACAAGCTTGCCCTCAGCTATCAGCTTTGTAAAAAGAATCAAATTCTAAAATTCAGGGGGTTGGAACACCTTACTCTGGGAAACTAACTGGGGAGAAAGCTCCATCCTATAATGAAACAGAAAATTATTCCCCTCAGAATACAACTAGATCTAGAAAAAATGTCAGCTGGTAAAGCTACCTATGAAATTACTGTGATAACAGCTGGGGAATAAACCTGTTCTGTGCAGAGAACACATCCTGGTCACATGGCTGGTACTATAAGAGACATGAATGCTCAGGATCATGAGGACATATGTTTTTCCTGCAGTTATGTCCTGCACTTAAAATTCATCAGGTAAGGGATGCAAAACTGGACCATGGACTTTTTCATAACAGATCATCTTTGCCACTCCCACAATTTCAGAAAGGACACACTGGGATAATATCCCCACATCCTGCAAGAGACCAGGTGCACTGTGTCAGTGCTCCCCTGAGTGTGACAGGCGGCTGATGGGCTACAGGAGACACAGGAATCCAGAGTCTTCTAACCTTCACCCCTTTGGAGCTGCTTTGAGTCCCACTAGGAGTCATCAAAAGGCTGTTTTGGTAGGGTCAGCTCCCTGCTGCTGCAGCTGCCTGACAGGAGAGCAGTTAACAGTATTAATAGTTGAAGATGAATTCAAGGTAACTCTACAGCCCATGCTCATCAGCCAAACTCCAGTTCAGCTCTGAGGAACACCTGCCTGATCCTAGAAGCTCTTTTGACCTTTCAGGTCTGAGGTCAGGCATGAAGCTCTCTGCTCACAGGTTGCCTCCTCCAGTTCACTAGAACTCCCCAAGCTCTCTGCCAAGCCTGGCACCAGGAACTTTGCTATTCCCTCTATTGCTTCTCTCTTCTCCTTTAAACCAGAAACAGCTGAAGTCCTAAAACAGCTCCACTTTCCACATAAGCAGCACAGTACAGACATTTGGGATCCAAGCTCTAAAGCAGAGTTCCCACGTTTTCTCCGTGAATGATCCAAAACCAAGAGACAAGGGAATGGCAGGTATAATAAAATTAAGTGCAGTACAATACTGAGAGTCTCAATTAAAACACCTCCTTTATACTCTAAAGCAGCCTTATGACTTGCATATCCATAGTCTGTATTTTGGGAACTGCTGTTCTAAGGTATATACAGAGACAGGCAGTTCACAGGGCTCACACTGTGCTACAGAAAGGTGGAAATTCCAGTGTGCATCAGCAGAAATACAGTGAGAGAGGAAGAGAGCCCATAAGACATTGTCCTAGTCCTCACACTATTCACTCTTCACCCTCTGTCACCTCTGTCAGAGCACTACCTGACAAATTCCACACACCAGTCCACGTTCCATAGGGTCAGAGTGCAGCTCCTATTCCTGCCACAACACCAGCACACCACAAAAGCAGGTCCAGGAGCACTGGAGAAAGCTCTGTGAAGAACTGGTTCCGCTCACTCGGGGTTAACGAGCCCACGAGTGGTTTCACACATGGATGGCTGGAGGTTTCCAGGGTCAGCTCAGTGGGTTCACAGCACTCACACACAGCAGAGAAAGAGCTAATAAGCTCTCCAGAGAGCAGAGCTGCCTCTGTGCAGTTCACTCGGATATCAACACCCTGCCAGTAGAGCCAGGAGTGCTGGGGCAGCAGGGCATAAGCACAGCACAGGCCTTGGCCCAGGCAGCACCATCCTGCCCTCGGGGCTCCCCAGCCGTGCTCAGCATCAGGAGGGGGTGCAGCACCCACCCCACAGGCTCGGGCACACCTGGGCTTGCTGCTGCACCAGGGGAGAGAGCTCAGAGTTAGTTGTTTCTGTTCCTACTCATCCCCCAGGCTGCTCCTTCAGGAGGGAACAATGAGCTTAAGCAATGTCCATCTGTAGCTGAAAAAAGGAAAAAAAAACAGCTCCTGACTGACCCAGTTTGATGAAGACATGGTGAGCAATTCCTTTGGAACCACAAGCACTGACCCCAGCACCACAGGTGTTCTTACACCACCAGTGCACTCCATCAATCCCAGCAAACTGTCTTGACCCTTAGGCAGCAACTGTCTCAAGTCAATGCAAATATATGTTGCCATTTAAAATACATGTTTTCTTTTTAAAACAGTAAGAGAAAATCAAAAACACAGCTGAAGTAATTTTACTCAATACTGAGTCTGAAAATCTGTACCAGTATCTTTTTCACAGACATGCTTTGATAGTCCTTTAAATTTTATCAAGGACAACATTTATGTATCTTTGTACAATTAAACAGAGATGGTGGAACACCAGTTAAAAACAGGAAAGCCCCTGTCTGAGAGATAAATACCACAAATAGAAGAGAACTTATCTGAGCAAGCCTGGGGGGGCACAGAGCTGGGGAGAGAGGTGTGCACAGGGAAAAGGAGGTTCTCAGTTTCTGATCACTAGTGGTGAATCCTACTGCTCACAGAGTCCTCTCGCTCCTGCAACCGCTGAAACCACATCACAGGTTTGGAAAACCTTCTGGAAGCCACTGGAAAATCTTGCAGTAGCAACACCACGTAACAAGCCACCCTCAATAAGCTCTGCAGTGGATGAAGATGTCCCTTCAGCTGATCTCTCAACAGGCAGCAGCCCAACCTGTGCGTAGCTCAGGAATCCCAATGACAGCCCAAATCCAGGTTTACTACAGCTAAATCACACTAACATAGGAAATAATGCACATAAGAAAAAATATTCCTGAAGCTTATGTAAGTCTCAAAAACACATCTTTGCCCTTCACCAGCCAGATCTGATACTACTCAAAGCAGTGACAGATTTTTAGCTAACAGTTGTGTACAGCATGGAAAAGCCAACCCAATCCAAGCCAATATTATACCTAGATACTTATAGGAGAGCCTTGTGTCTCTGTTCTAGTCATACTCTCTACTCAGGCAAGAGATGTGTCCTGGTCATGGTCAGTAAAAATATAGGAAGTCTCTAAGTTGTAGCCAAACCTGGCCCAGCCACGAGGGAGAGAGACAGGTAGGACCCTATGATCTCGTACCATAAAGAAGTTGTGCCTCAGAGGACGGGGATGGTTCTCATACCTGTGTCCCAGTTACATTGGGGATGGCACTGTGTGGGGCACAGAGACCACCTGACCAGCGTAAAAAGGGAAGAGATATTTGAATTCTTAGTTTATGCCACACCTGGTAATAAAAAAGGCAATATCCTTCAAAGTCCAGGATATTCTGAGTTTTACCCATCCCCGCTGCAGCAGGTAAAACTAACAATCCCAGACTCCAGAGGCTGCCCTCCTCACTCCAGAGCTTGGGGGAATGCTGCAGCACTGTGAGCTCCCAGCTGACCACGCTGTCCTGGTTAGAACGGCTGGGACCAATTCATCACTGGATGGGTGTAACCCAAAACTGTGTATTCTATAGCCTTCCATGCCATTGCCCAGAAACTGTTGTCAGTAGAGGCCTATGTTCCTGTCCTCATGCCCTTTGATGGAATTCCCCGCTCTGATACCCTTTTATGGAATTCCCCCCTCTGAGGGAGGGACTGAGAACTCCAACCTGAACTGGAGAATATAGAAACTGGGAGTTTCGGAACCTTGGCACCACTCGTGGGACCCAGAGGAAGACTGCAGACCACCGCTCTCAACCAGACTGAGACCACCACCCTCAACTGGACTGCAATCACCACTTTTGACCAGACTGCAACAGCTCTCCCACCAGCAGGTTTTTCCCCTCTCCCTTCACTTTGGACTCGGGAGGGGCAAGAAACACCACTTTTGTTCATGCCCCAGGGTGCTGGGTTATACATTTGGGTTTTGCGGGTTAAAACCACTTGTCTGTCTGTATAATTGTACTTATTGTATTATTTTAATAAATTGTTATTCTGACTTATAATCTCTCTTTTGGGTTGAGTTCATTTCCCCTGCTGGTTAACTTTTAAACCAGCACACCACGCGCCGGCAGGGTCTGACAAGTCAGTGTTTTTGCTGTCACGTTTATTGGTATCAGCACATCTAATGGCACAATTCCATCAGGAGCTGCCTCACCAGGGCAGCAGCCCCACCCACAACCCCCAAGGCATCACTTACTGCTAAAGAACTCCTCGTAGTCGGTTTTCTCCACGCAGCACGTGTACATGCGCAGCGCCGCCACCTTGATCTTCTACGGCAAAAGGAAAGGCAACACTTGAACTCTTCAGTCCTGAGAGCTCCTGAACCTGCTGCAGCTGGTAAATGAGCTGCCCCTTGCTGAAAACACTTCTTTTGATCATCACAATCACTTGGGATTTTCGGGAGCACATTAAACTATGCCAGGAATCTTGCCTCAAGGGGAAAAAGGTATTGAATGGCTTCTTGAATATCCTTCCAAATCTAGTTGGATACAATACTTGATATAATAACAGAAAAAGAGTCCAATTCACAATTCCCAGTTTTCTCCAATAACTCTAAGTGATGTACACCACTGAGAGTGTTTTGTACAATTTAAGTTTTAAATATTAAAGAAGTCACATACCAGACATGCCCTAAAAATAGTAAATAATGTCCTAAAATAAAATGTCCTAAAAATAATAAATTTTTCCTAGAAAAATGAAACTTGACTGACTAAGCTTGGAGAGTGAGAGAGGAATCCCAAATGATAAATGACATGAGGTATTCCCAGGTGCTTTGGCACTTCTCATTTTGTTTCTGGCCTGCCACTGCACCCAAAACACGTCCAGTGCATCATCCTAAACACAGACACATGTGCTGAAACTTCAAAGGTCACAATAACTAATAGTAAAGATCTTAAAGAGCTGTCAGCCATTCCTGTTTGCTAATATCAGGGGAAGAAAAATTAAGAAAAATTTGATAACTCCCCAACCCACTCCCCTACCTAAGCCAGGAAGTGGCCTTGGCTTTGGGTTGCTTTGGTTTGCTTTATGTCTTTTTTGTTTTTAGTGACATATACTGGGGACCCTCTCAGTGCTCACTATATTACAGGGATGAGCCCCCTGCCTGTTAAATGGCAGTTCAAATCACCAAAGTAATTATTTGTGTCTCCTGCAGCCAAAAGGAAAATAAAGAAGTTGCAACTGATTGCTGAGGAAACACAGGAGCCCATTATTTTTCTGACTCAGTAATCTTAGGCTTCTGTCAAAAATCAAACCTACATCTAAACTTCTTGATTTACACTGCTTACAAGAGTTCTGAAGGTTTCCCTTTTAAAGGAAACAGTGCCTGGCCTGGGAGCAGAGATGTCCCTGGTGAGAGCCACTGCCCCAGAGCAGGCATTACTAGACATTAAAAACATATTGCAAAGAACAGTCCCCACAATCCAGCCCTCAAATAAGGCAGGTAACAAAGGAGGAACTGATGAAATTTAATCATGGAAGTTTTAGGGTGTAGGAGAGGTGTGGGGGAAGGGAGAAGAAAATGGAAAAAAAGCAGAGAAATATGAAGAAACTTCCCAAAGATCTCCTAGAGAGCACTGGCAAGGCCAAAAATGAACTCAGGTCTCTTGGGGCCTAACCACAAAATAACTCTCCCAACCCAGGTTCCCCAGCCAAAAGCAGGCAGTAAAGAGCAGCAATTAAGGAGAACTCTGAATCAACACTTAGAGCTAATAAGAATCTTTATTACAACAATATGTACACAAGCACATGGGAGAGAAACTACACTCTCATGAGGTTTAGCATCACCTGATTAAAGCAACTGATTTAAACCAAAATACCTAAGCCTCTTATGGGTCAGTTATCTTTGCTTTACACTGTCTGAGGAGCAAGATGCAATCAGCAACAGTTTCAGATCAGTCTCGGAGGAGGTGCACTCTGCCCTGCAGATATTCAAAGCACCTTAACATTTTTATTATTTTTAATTTTTTTCTATTTGAAGAACTGATTTTAATTGCAACACAATTGGGCTCAGTCCTTCCTTCAAGCTGCCTTTTCCCCTCACTCTTTTATACTCTCTTCTAGTTCAGAGAAAAGAAATTATGAATTTCATGTTTTTCCTTCTGCCTAAGGAAGTGAAGGTGTTTCTTACTGAACTGCTCTCATTTAGTCAGTGTTAACACCTGCTTTATGAAAGGGCTATTTAAAAAGAAAAGGATAAAGGGAAGGACCTATTTGTGACTTTGACCTGGTCAACTACCACTGAGCAGTGTCTTGAACAGCAACACACCATATCTCCCTCCTGACTGCTTGGGAGACCCTCCAGCCCCAGAAACACAGAACCCTGGAAGAGGCTCAGAGAAGGGCAACAAAAATCAAAACATGGAAGAGCCTCAATAAAAGAAACAAGTCAGACTCAGCCTTCTCACTGCAGAGAAAGGCACAGATATTATATAATATACAGGTCTATAAAATCATCAGTGGAAGGCAGAATGTGAATAAAAGCTCCAAAGACAGAATAATAACCTTTTTTTTTCTAACTACAAAATTAAAAGGCATCAACTAAAACCAACTGTACTTCTTCCCCCAGTGGTGCCTCAGGCTATGGAAATCCCTGATACTGAAGGCTATGGAAGCTACAAACAAGAGTTCCAAGTGCAACTGGACCAATTTACAGAAGAAAAATCAATAAATATTATACCAAAAATGTCTGTTTTCATGCAGGAAGCCCTGAAACTGGTGGAAGCTCAAGGAGCACATGAGACAAATATCACAATGTGCTTTACCTGCAATCGAATTCTTTCTAATTTACAGCAATTGGTCATTATTAGGGGTAAGATGATGGACTATGTGGGTGTTTGACTTGCATGGTAAGGCTGTTACGGTGGTTTTTGGTGCACAAATGAAATGAAAAAATCAAATATTTGAAGAAATTCAAGAAGGCTTTAGACCACACAAACCAAAAGCAATATTGGTACCTGTGTCAATGATGGCAGTGGACAGATCAAGGGAGGTTCAAGCTATGGATTATTATTCCTTACATCAGAAAACAGGTAATTAACAATTTTCCACTAAGTACTATTCCTATCACAAGAAAAAAATGTGCAGTTTTTTGTCTGCTTTTTAGAACAATCAAACAACCAAAAGAATTATTAAATGACTGCTTTACCCATCTGCTGTACTTGAGTGGTCCTGTGAACCCCATTGCTTCTATTATCCTTGTGAAAGCACCCACTTTCTCTTCAGATGGATGCAAGGAATCTTTTGCAGAAAGATGCTGTAAAATTGAAATAGCACATATTTCAGTCTCAGCAATTAAATCTGACAAATCATTTTAGTTAGAAAAGACACAGATTTAATAGGGAATTTTAGGTTTTTTGTTTACTGTCTTTTTTCAACTAAACAAACACATATTTAGGCCTTCTCTGAAAATATTACCCTGGTTTTCCTATGTGACGTTCTTCTGTTTATGAATGTAAACACTGCAAACCACTGTGATAAAACCATCCCACTGGCAGCTTACATTCAAATAGTTTGTAGAGAAACCTGCTTTCCAAAATGTGGCTCCTATCTTAGACTCCCACATTCTTTCTAGGTCTGTGTCTTTAATTGCATTTAAGTTTTTTGCACAAAAACCAAGCAAACGAATCACAGAGAGAGAGTAAATAAAGCAAACCTTTTACATTCCCTCTCTTCCTCTCACAGGTATATCATATCCTAGAGTAATTACACATTATAGAAACCATCAGCTCCATTTTAAAACCAGTGAAGCTACACAAACCCACTGCTCTCACCAAAAAGCTCCCTCAGATTGTTATTCCCCTTCAGCTAAACAATGTGGTACTTGCAGAAAACCTACATCACTAAAGCATTTATTCCCCAAGGACTTGCAGTGCCTGCAAACATGAAGATAAATATTCTCTTCCAGACCAACTCTACACCTTAAACACCCCTGGGCTGATGCTGTAGCTTAACCCCAGGGGTAACTGGGGATGGGGGAGAGAACTGTGAGGGTAAAAGTGAGAAAACTCGTGGGTTGAGGTAAATGCGGTTTAATTAGTTAATGAGAAACCACACACACAAGCAAAGCAGCACAAGGAATTCATTCCCCCCTTCCCATGGGAGGCAGGTTCAGCCATCCCCAGGACAGCCAGGCTCCATCACAGTAATGGTGACTTGGGAAGGCAAACACCATCCCTCCAAACATCTCCCCTTCCTCCTCCTCCCCACAGCTCTGTGTGTGAGAATGATGCCACATGGTCTGGAATGTCCCTGGGGTCAGATGGGATCCTTGTGCACCCCCAGCTATTCCCCTGGTGGGGTGAGGAGCAGAAAAGGCCTCAGCTCTGTGCCAGCCCTGCTCAGCAGGAACTAAAACATCCCTGTTATCAGGACTGTTTCCAGCACACATCCAAACCACAGCCCATACCAGCTACTGGGAAGAAAATTAACACTACCCCAACCCTAATCAGCACAACTGGTAAGAAAACCTCCTGGCATTCTGCCTCTGAGCACCCTGGCAGCAGCAATCAGCCATCAGGAATTACCACTGGTACTCCAGCAAATCATTTCCATGAATTAACTCTGCAGTATAGACCTTTAGCTATCAACAAATTACTCTATTTTTAACCCATTTTTTGCACATGAATCTCCCACATACACTCGAGGAAACACAGCTGAGAGCCATTACAATCTGAGAAAGTTCCCTGACCAAAGAAATGTTAAACTGTTTTAAGCTGCTGGCATTTTACCCTAAACATTTCCTCCTAACACATCAACATACTAAGAAAAAGATTTTCTTAGCAAGGAAGTAATTTAGCATCACCAGGGCTGCCACACATGGCCAGAACAATGAGACCAGGCTGCCAACTCCAACAAGGAGCAGGAGCAGCTCCTTGGAGAAGACAGGAAAGCAGAGAAACAGCACACACCCCCCAAGATTCCTGGGCTGTACCTGTCCAGCTTTTGACAGACATTCCCACACTAGAAAATGTATCCAGTCATTTTTGGCAGCTCCAACTGGATGCACCTTCAGTACCCCAGTGTTTGAAACTGTTTAACCTCCACAACACAAAGGTGTGGTACGCTGAGGTTTCAGGGTTTAAGGATGTAAAAACTGTGCCTGTTTTAAATCCAACCTTGTCATTTGGACTAGGGACCTTTAAAGGTCCCTTCCAACCCAAACTATTCTATGACTGATTTCCCTGGATGCTCCCAATTTTCCTATAAGAACCTGCAAACAACCATTTTGTATTCCACTTTTCAGTCTTTTGACTTTTATAGGCCAGTATCATACACATGCCCATCCCTCTAGTTTAGAAGGGTCCTAAAATAGCCTATTCTCATAGAGAAAGCTTTTCCCATTGCTGATCATTCTCTATAGCTTTCCTAGCACTAATATAATGATTTTTGAAATGGCATGAATGATACATAAATGCATATTAAAATACAGACCCATATCCTGCACCAGTTGCTATACTTAATTAAAAACTCACTGTAAAGGTGACAAAAACTGTAGCTTTGAGACCTAATGCATCCCTGATCATAATCCACAGTCAGGCCTGAGCATTTGAGATAAAACACTTTGCCCCTGTGCACTGTCCACTGTTAAAGGCTCAAACCCCACCATGCCCAGTATCCAGAGAAATAGGGAGAAACACACTCAGCACCATTTCAGAATCTGTCTGTCACCCCCTCAGACAGTCTCACACTGCCCAGGACCTCCTGGGGTACTCAGATCCTTCTCTGATTGTCAAAACTGTTCACCATGTCCCCTCTCACCATCCAGAACAAAAGTGTCTGCAAAGGCACGTCCCACCCCCTGCCACATGTGATGGACCCCCTGAGTCTACCGGCAGTATGTGAATATTTAAACCAATTTTCAGCACCTCCTCTTCAAGAATATCCCATGCAATACCCTCCTCTACACTACAAATGACTCCTAACCTTGCATTGTAACTCCATAATCCTCCCCCAGCCAGGCAATGACAGGAATTGCTCAGTGCAGAACCTGTGTCCAATAACTGCCACACCAAACTCACTAACTCAACCTTCAGCTCCTCCACAGGAATTACAACCACACTGAACCTCTAGAGAATCCAGGCAGAACTTCACCACAGGCCTCTTATGTACAAGTGCATTAGGAAGCCTCCCTCAGCACAGGTCTTTCATTGCACAGAGGAAGTTAAAAACCAAAATTATCTCAATTCAACTGCTGTTAGCTCATCACTGACACAATGACTGGCCAGCAAGCAGGTTTTTCCTAAGAAATGCTGTGATTCTTGCTTCATTCCTCTGCAAGTCAGCCTGGACTAGCTCAGGAGATGGAGAGGGGATTTAAACAGGGAGTGTTTGGTTCAGCCAAGTGCAACTAAACAGTCCTATAACATCTATAAAATCGTATCTAGGAATCATCAGGGCAAGGAGGGGGAAGCAAGTGAGTGGCTCTGTGTTGCCAGCTGGGCTTAAACCATGACTCAGAGAGAAAACTTCAAAAGTATGTTGTATAACTCACTAAAAAACAAGCTCATCAAGACACTGCAAGGGACATAAGCCCACCTCAGGCTGCCTTTCCTGCTCAATGCAGTGCTTAAAGCAAACAATCTTCTTAATTTTGACACCAAACATAAACTGAAACATCTGGGGCTCACCATCAATTCCAAACCACTTTCCCACCAGGAGTGCACAGTCAAGTTCACATTTCAAAGATGAGTAAGTACTTCTCTATTCAAAATAATGAAGTTGCTGTCCAAAAACCCACCTCGAACCTACTCTGCTGTAAACTGCTTCCTCTCTGGTCATAAATCCTGCCTGGCTTCTTACACCAAGGCTATTTTAACCAGTTTCCCAATTCATCTTTCAACCTTTGGACCCTTCCCCTAGGCCTTTCCAATACATCAAAAGCAAGTCTTGAGTCCTGCCTTGAAGATCTTCATGCCACTCCTGGTTTGTTGGATCTGGTCATCCACTGCTCTCCCAGAGCTGCTCTGCAAACGCTGCCTGTGTGGGTACCAGGGAGCAGCGCAGGCAGGAACAGGGACTGGGGGATGCACCAGTCTGAGAGCCTGGATTACACCTTTAGCTCTGGCCACAATAAATTGTGCAACCCCTTTTGACATGCCTCAATCTCCCTGTCTGCAAGATGTTTGGTTTGTCTCACCAGCTGAAAAACACTGAAAAACAAGACTAAAGAAAGGAAAACCTCTAGTTAAGAACTAAATGTAAAGAGAAGTCAGGGCTTCTTTCCTTGCACACATTTCCTTGTTTTCCTTCATTTTTTCTATCCTGTCAAAATAACTAATTCTAAATCTTTCTTAGCATGTACCTCTAACTCTACACCAGCAAAATACATGACTAGGTAGATAGCAAACTGGGATTGCTGCTTTCATGGAAGTTTTACCCATCAATCCCCAACTTTCTTCTTTCTTCTGTCCTATCATTTCTCAGGCATGCATTCCATTTTGCCATTTTCTTCACACTGGCTTAACAAGATCCAAATCAGGATAATCATTAGTTGAGGGATGCTGACACCCGTAATTTAAGTGGTAAACTAATCTTATGGAGTTGATTCACGCTCCAGAAAACTTCTATTCCAAGACAAAATACAATAAATGTACAAGATACATAGACCACAGATTAACAAAACAGTACAAGTGAACAGTAAATAAATTATTAGACAATAATTAGCTGTTATTAGTAGATTGCCTGACAATTTTCAGTGTTTAGCAGATACCAAAACCATCATCACACTTTACTCCCAAGCTAAAGAATCAGAAAACATCCTGTCACTTCTAATATGTACAGAAGGAATATCTGCTCTGCACACCAATAACTATTCCCCTTGACTTAGTTTCTTTCCTCATTGGAAGGAAGCCCTCAGGATTATCACTGGAACCTTCACCCTGATAATCCAGCTGTAACTGCACCTTCCTATGCCAGCCTCTCATTTTCTGGAAAGGAACAGAATTCCTTCTCAAATGACTGGACCCATTGTTCTCACCACACTAAAATATCTTAGAGAAAAGTTCCTACATGTTCTGGGCAGTTTTTTGCCTCCTGTCCCTGTATAATCCCCAGCACATGTGCCCTCCAACAATAAAAACATCCAGCTCTTCTCACCTTATTTGTATTGTAAAAGGATCTGTTTTGCTGCGTGGTGGCTCCATTGGCTTGAATCAATCCTCGACAGAACCTGGACAGTCGGAAGGGGCCGGCCTTGTGCCTCTGGGAAAAATGATACAAGAAAAGAAAAGGAAAAAATTAAGAGGTCATTGACTTTGCTTTACACCAATCACCTTTAGTCTGCTAATTAGTTTTGGCTAATCTTGAAAAACTTTTTATCAAAAACCCAACAAATTTATTATCATAACTGTTACAAACAAAATAGCTGTCCATGGTTGATGCTCCACACCATTCATTTTCCAGTGTTCCATAAATGTACTGATGGAATGGACTGGCAGAACACTCCACTCAAAAACCACAGGCTGTCTGCTTTCACTTGCTTACACTACTTTTAACTATGGTTTTGTCTTTTAATGAAGAATACTTCTTTTTCCCGACCTTGCAGACAAACAGACTTTATGCTATTTTTGTCTACAACTTTATAGCCCGTTTAATTGTCTTTGTGGAAGGACTTGAGAAAACACAATTTACAGGGTAAAAGCTACCACTACAACCACTATAACTTCAGAGCACATGACTTGTATCACAGAGCTACTGCACAACAGAGAAAACTCTCAAGCAGGAGTGAGCAGGCTCCCCAGGAAAGAAGCTGCACCCTGAACAAAACACCCCTCACAGCCTCCCAGCACCCCCAGCTTAGCAGTACCTTGTCTACAAATTAACTCAAACTAAATATGCTGTTCAGAGCAGTCACCTCCAGACAGGTATTGAATGCACTGGTGGCTCAGACTGAGCCCAACTTCATCAATAACTTCACAACTGCTCATTTCCCTCTCTCCTCCAAACATCGTACGTTACTTGCTATGGACTGTGCTTTAATGGTAGAGTTGTGTCACAAAATCACCAGCAATCTTCCTACAACTGGAAGGTCTTCTCTGAGAAAAGACACTCAAGCCAAAGAGCTTACAGGGAATTTCTAATTCTGAATGTCATGGCTCTACGGCACGAGTTGTGATATAAAGGAGGATGAAGAAGAGGCTTAACCCCCTCGTGTTTCATTGAATGCAGGAAGGAAACACCGAGAGACAGACTCTAATTCTGTTCTGAGAGCTGGCATCTCTCCATTTTCTACATGTTTTTCACCCCTTTCTCATGAACTGCTACCACATGATGCTCCAGTTGATTTACTCTGGACAGACATGCCCTGGTGTCTGTGCACACTGTGCACACTGTGCCTGCTGTCACACAGCTGGAAGCCAAACTGCAGAGCTTCCACTGGAACAACACTAAATGTTGTGCTCAGCACGGTAAACATCCATCAGTACTTGGAAGTCCAAGGCCACTGTCCAGTGGAGACGTTCTATAAAGTGTTCTGGAAAATAAGGTGCTGGAAATTACAATTGTGACTGGATTGTAAAAGCTGCTTTGGAAAAGTGACACCTGCATTTGGACTTCTGCACTTAATCTCCTCAAGACAGATCATTTAGATCTATTAAACAATTAAATAACTTAGATCTATTAAAAGACACAGCCGGAATGAAGACCCGTAACAAAGTGGGAGCTCACCCTTTCTGCAGCAGAGAGCTCTAAGAGGTGCCTTGATATTTCAGCAATACACAGCGAAGACTTTTGGAAGACTCTTTATTGAAAAAACATGACTTTTTCTTAGCAATTTAAGCTCATTCCATTTTTGTTTACACAGTTTAACATGCTCTGATATCATACCTGGAAAATACTGCAGAGCATCCGTCTACACTGGCCCGGGACTGCGGCGGTCTGGAGCAACCCACTGCATCCTGTTATCCACTGAGTTACTCCAGTCTGGCAGCTCTGCAACAGGGACAGGAGCAATGAAGAAAAGGACCCAAATATGCAGAAACAGTTTAACTCTTCTTCTGCTTCCACAAGTTTTATTCATTCATACAACAAGAACAACAAGGAGCTGTGTCAGGGCAGGGTCAGGTTGGATCTCAGGGAAAGGTTCTTCCCCCAGAGGGTGGTTGGCACTGACCAGGCTCCCCAGGGCAGTGGGCACAGCACCAAGGCTGCCAGAGCTCCAGGAGAGTTTGGAAGGGCAGGGTGGGATTGTTGGGGTGTCTGTGCAGGGCCAGAGTTGAACTCAATGATCCCTGTGGGTCCCTTCCAGCTCAGGATACTCTAACAATCCTTAGATTCAACTCCCAACTTGTGCTTGACAGGAGTATAAATTTTGATTATAAAAATATTTTGCCTTCCAGTACAAGTATCCAACCCAAGTCTGATGGCAGAAACAGATGAGTGGAAGGAAATGGTGGGCTGTCTACATCACAAAACCACACCACAATTTTTCAGTCTATACAATAAATTCAAACGCTCAAGAAGCATTCTTCAACTGACAGAGTGAGCTCCAAAAAGCCCCCATCCAACTCACAGCTTTTATGCATCTTTGTCTTACTTTACTCAGGCATGGCTAAGAATTTTAGTATTTCAAAAGCACATATTGTCCCAATAAATTTCAGTGAAGATAATTATTTTCTTTTATGAAAATGTCAGTAACATGGAAAAGAGATGGAGTTTTCTTTGCCTGCACTTTCTTTGCATCTTCCATTTTCTGCAATATTCAAGTTCATACAATATTTGCCTCCTTCATATGTGCACTACACTAATACTGGAAATAATGTATATATTATTAGAAGGGATTGCCTTTATCTAATAAAAACAGCTTCATTTCCAACTGTAGCAAGATGACTCAATTTCTGCTTTTTCAAAGTAACATCATTGCTCAGAAAGTGAGATTTTGAAAACAATATATTTCTATCCAAAAAACCATTTCAGTTCAGTACCACAAAGTACTTCTTGAGGTAACCCAGTGCCCTGACATAAACAGTTTAACAAAGACTTCAGTGAGAAAGAAGGTACCTTTTTTTTTAATCAATTATTACAAGATTCCAAGGATCTGACACAACTTTTTTGAGACTTTTTCTCTGTAATAAGAAGGAAAATATGCCCAGGCTGGGATATGGCTTAGATCTTGAACATACTGTGGTTTATAGCTGTTGAAAAGCACAACTGCAACAGAACTGGACAAAGACATACGAAAACATAAAATAAGCATATGCACACTGAAAAGCTGAGATGTGATAAACAATCCAGTAACAAAGAAAACAGATACCAGCAGAAAGCAGAGAACACGAGGAGCTAAAGAATTTTGTCTAAGCCAGCATCACCCTTCACAGAACACAACCCTCTTTTCAAATTACAAGTGATACTTTTGCTTGGCTGAGAGAAAAAGCAGCAAGCCTAAACTGAACAGGATTACTCAGGAACAGCCTGCAGACTAGTTGAGATGGCAATGGAAGAATATCACTATATGGTCTTCTAAATGCTCTTGGCAATCATCAGGAAAGCCTTAAGTAGCAGACAAGCTATTTATCAAGATCTCTTGGGTAAAAACCAGCTTTATCCTAGTGGCAGTATTAGTGAGTAGAGCTGAAATGCCTGGACGATCATCAGGACGATATCACACACCAGGAGCTCCAAAGAAGGCTTGAAGACAGACAACAAAAGTAATTTTCCTTATTTCCAGTAGAAAGAAGAGACACGGAAAGTTTGAAGATTTATTTTTATACAAGTAGGCAACCACTAAATTCAAATGCAGCAACAAGTGCTGGGAGGTGCCAGGGATGAGCAGTGCACTTCAGATCACAAAATGGCAAATAACTCCATCTCCTCCCCTCCAATGAGTAATGTCTGCTCAGGCTGAAAAACTGAATCAGCTCACTTTGCCACATGAATGCCAGCAGCAGCTGGGCAAGGAGCTGCCCAGGGACAGGTAAGCCCAGGAGGCAAGTCCTTCCCCTTCAGAAGCAGGTTTTCAGTGCAAACCCTGCCCCGGGGGTGCAGCTCCACGGGCAGCTGAACTCATCTGGTGCCTCACTGCTTTCCCACTGCTCTCCCTGCTCCCCTCCTGCCTGGCTTCCCCCTCCCTGTCTGCTGGCCACTGCCTTTTTAATGCTTTAAAACTCCACAAAACTGTTTTTATGTTGACACTGTTCTGCTGCTCCAGAATTTGGATCATAGGGGCCAAGAAAAATGCTGGAGGAGGCAATTGCAGGCAACAGAGCAAGGACAGGAGCACAGAGAAAGGGCAGGGATGGGAGGAGGAAGCAGGAACTCAAGCTCGCTCCACTTCAGCTGCACTCGGGCAGGTTTGTGCTTGGCTGCTTTCACCCTGAGAGTGGAGAGGACAGGGCTCACTGTGCCGGTGAAAACCACACCCTGACCTCTGAGAACTTAGTGGATTCATTTCACAAGTGGAGATTGCCCTCTGGCCAAAGGCCTTTCCTGTTCCTGGGAAATCTCTTCCCACTTAGCAGTGCTGGCCATCCCTGTATTTGTGTGGTGGCATAAGATCAGACCCAGGTACAAAATTCCCTTTTCTAGACTATATGCTAAAAAGAAGAGCTCTGTTGCAGAGACTTTAAAGGCCAATAGAAAGAAAAACGCACACGAATGCACGGGAAAGAAGAAAAGAGTGGAGTGATTAGAAATCCACTCATTCACAGGAATCCAAACTCTTGCAATTTGAATCACTAGGGTTGGAAAAGCCAATCGAGTCCAACCATCAACCCAGCACTGGTGGGTCCACCACTAACCCATGTCCTCAAGTGCCACATCTACCTGGCACTTGAACACTTCCAGGGATGGTGACTCCACCACTGCCCTGGGCTACCTGTGCCAGGGCCTGACCAGTAACACAGGAATGGGAATCTTTACATCATCCTTGGTATCAAACACCTGAAATGAGAAGGGAAACTCGAGGAAGAGAACACACTGAGCCCAGAGGAGCCCCACACTGACAGACACGTGTCTCCAGCCCCAACCAGGAGCCCAGACCCTCACACGACAGAATCACAGAGTGAATTAGGTTGGAAGAGACCTCTAGGATGATCAAGTCCAACCGATGACCCAACACCAGACCACGGCACTGAGTAACATGAATAGTCTTTCCTTAAACGCCTCCGGGGACAGTGACTCCACCGCCTCCCTGGGCAGCCCATCCCAATGTCTAAATCACTCTTTCTGTGCAGAAATTCCTCCTAGTGTCCAACCTGACCCTCCCCTGGCACAGCTTGAGGCCGCGTCCTCTCCTCCTGTCCCTTGTTCCCTGGGAGCAGAGTCCGACCCCCCCCGGCTCCCCGCTCCTGTCAGGGAGGAGGAGAGGGCGAGAAGGTCCCCTCTGAGCCTCCTTTTCTCCCTCGCAGCTCCCTCAGCAGCTCCTGCTGCTCCAGACCCTTCCCCAGCTCCTCTGCCCTTCCCTGGACACGCTCCGGCCCCTCAACAACCCTTCTGCAAACACGAACTCCGCGGGGAAAAGCTCGACCCGCCGCTTCGCCAGACACCACCGCGGGGCTGAGGGGAGGGCGGCGGGAGCAGCCCCCGCTGGCACCCCTCGGGATGCGGGGGGAGCAGCCCCGGCCCCACACGGCGCTCGCCCCCTCAGCACCAGCGCTCGCTCCCTCCCTCCCTCGGTCCCTCGCTCACCAGGGCCCGCGCCAGCGCCGCCATCAGTGCCCGGCGCCGCTTCCGCCGCCGCCGCCCTCCCCTTCCGCGGGAAGCGCCGGGGGACGGGGGGACGGCGGCGATGGCGGCAATGGGGCAGTGGCGGCCATGGGGCGATGGGGGCAATGGGAGCGATGGGGGCAATGGGAGCAATGGGGGCAATGGGGCGATGGCGGCCATGGGGCAGTGGCGGCAATGAGGCAATGGGGGCAGTGGCGGCAATGGGGCAATGGCGTGAGGGGGGCGCGCAGAGCAGCGCTACCGCACAGAACGGGGTTCGCTCCCCGCTGTGCAGCAAGCCCATAATGACACGGTGGAGAGAGTAATTAATGTAACTGCGCCTCCGTGGGAAGGAGAGCGCCGTCCCCCAGTATTTCGGGTGCGGGTTATGGGCTGCCCACGGGAGGTGAGTGTCAAGGGGGCCGTTCCCGAGCCTCCCTGGCAGTCACGCTCCCAAAGGCCAGGGACTCTCACTGCTGCCACTGCAGCTCCTTCACCGTGACCTGACAGGTCTCGCTTGGCTCCTCACACACAGACACACCTCCAGACCAGGTTTCCCATGGCAGAGTCTCAGATATCTCATTCCAAAAAGCAGTTTATTCATGGCGCAGTAACACAGAAACACCTTGAGCTGGTGCCTCTGAGGAGCTCCCCCAACCAAGGAACCCCTGGGTTTTTATACCCTCACACTCTACCTGTGTAAGTCTCGCTCTTCCTCCCAAGTCTTTGGCTCCTGCTGCCCTGTCTGTGTCCATCCCCCTCGCTGTCATGACCGGTCTTCATCTCCTTTGTTACCCAAAAGGTCAGCAATTCCCAGCTCCTGCTGTAGGTCTCAGTTCACAGCTTCTTTGCTCCCACCCAGAGTTCAATCTTCATCCCAATCTGCAGATTGTAAGCTGAGCTACCTGGACTAAATGTATTCCTCAACAAACAGTGAAGGCCAGTAACAGCTTTCTGACCTGTCACATTTTGTACAGGAGCAATCCCTGGACATACTCAGATTTGGAGCTCGGCTCCAAATTGCAGAGGTTGGGTCCAGAAAGTGAATCAAAGTACCTTTCCTTGGGAAGGGAAACGCCTATTCCTCCTATTGCTGCTGCAGATGATCATCTGCCCCATGGGGGTAGAGGCCAGCAAGACCTTTCTGTCCTGGCACCTTTTGTGTATGAACAACCCTCGGATGTATTTAATATTGGAGGTGGTATCATAAATTTTGGTGGTGGGGCCCTGAATGGGAATGACAGTGCTTTTCCATGGGAAGGACAGCACCAAGCCCCAGTGTTTCCTTTCTCTCTTGGAACCTTTTGTGTTGTGGCAATCCCTGTGCCTATTCAGTGTTGGAGTTCGGTTCCTAATGCTGGAACTGGGGGCCTGAACGTGACTGACACCACCTTTCCTTGAGAAAGAAAGCACCTAGTCCTATTCTTGGTGCTGCATATGATCGTCTGCCCAGTGGAAGTAAAGGTCAGTAGGTTTATTTATTTCAGAGTTGTGCAAGCCTGGGTGCTCAGTGGTATTCCACAAATCCAGTGCACCCCTCCGGACTTTGTGTGGCATTATTTACACACAGAAATTCAGACTTAGAAACTTCCCAAGTAAAGCCCCTCTATTAGGACTGGTTAGTCATTTACATACAAGTTACATAATCAAGAGGTCTTGACCTGCAGGCATGATTTTTAGCAGTGGTTCAGCTATAGGATACATGGACCTTGAGTATTTTTACAGAATCACAGAATATCCTGAGTTGGAAGGGACCCACAAGGACCATCGAGTCCAGCTCCTGGCCCTGCACAGGCCCATCCCCAAGAGTCACCCCCTGTGCCCCAGAGCATCATCCAAACCCTCCTGGAGCTCTGGCAGCCTTGGGGCTGTGCCCACTGCCCTGGGGAGCCTGGGCAGTGCCCAACCACCCTCTGGGGGAAGAACCTCTTCGTAATACCCAGCCTAAACCCCCCTGACACAATTCCCTGGGTGCTGTCCCTGGTCCCTCCAGAGCAGAGCTCAGTCCCTGCCCCTCCTCTGCCCCTGCCCAGGAAGTTTTAACTGCGGTGAGGTCTCCCCTCAGTCTCCTCTTCTCCAGCTGAACACACCAAGTGCCCTCAGTGTCCTCACACGCCTTCCTCTCAAGGCCCTTCCCCATCTTTGTTTCCTCCTTTGGACACTCTCTGATGGCTGAACATCTTCCTTACATTTTGTCCCCCCAAACTGCCCCAATATTCAAGGTGAGGCCAGCCAAGGGCAGAGCAGAGCAGGACAATCCCCTCCCTGATGCCCCCAGGACAGGGATTTCCCTCCTGGCTGCCAGGGCACTGCTGACTCAGGGCCAAGTGGCCACCAACCAGGACCCTCAGGGCCCTTTCCTGGCACTGCTTTCCAGCCCCTCATTCCCCACTCTGTCCATACATCCAAGGTTGCCCCATCCCAGGGGCAGAATCCGGCATTCCCCTTGTTGAACTTCCCATGGTTGGTGATTCCCAGCCCTCGGATCTGTCCAGGTCTCTCTGCAGGCCCTCCCTGCCCTCGAGGGACTCAACAGCCCCTCCCAGTTTTGGGTCACCTGCAAACTTGCTCAGTGTCCCTTCCAGTGCTGTGTCCAAGCCATTGATGATGTTGGCGAGCACAGGGCCCAAGATGGAGCCCTGTGGAACCCCAGTAGTGACAGGTCACAGTCTGATGTCACCCCAGTCACTGTCACCCTCTGTGCCCGACCCCAGAGCCAACTGCTCACCCAGCACAGGATGTGTTTATCCAGCTCTGGGCTGGACAGTTTGTCCAGAAGGATCCTGAGAAAGACAGTAACAAAAGCTTTACTGAAATCCAAAAAGATCACATCAACTGGCTTCCCTTGATCAGCCAGGTGGGTCACCTTGTCATAGAAGTTAGCAATGTATACATAGACATAGATCAACATCCTTAAAGCTTGTTAGCTCCAGGTTGTCCATGACTAGGGAGTGCTCCTGCTGCCTGTTCCACTGATCAGGTCTTCTTTCTTGCTCATTAGGCTTGAAAGTATACAAAGACCTTACACAGAACATCCTGACTTAAAATAATCTTGACATATTCCACATTTTGCAACAGCAGGGGAGGCTCTGGGCCGGTGCTGGGGTTCAGTTCAGAAGGGGTGAAGGTGGCAGGTCTGTGCCTGTCTGCTGCTGTCAGCCCTGTCCTTGGGGCATGGCTCTGCCTGAGCTCAGGGGCAGCAGAGAGAGCAGCGTGGAAGCAGCTGTAGGTTCTCTGGCTGAGGTTGGTCAGGCCACCCTGGCTGCCCCAAGCATCAGTGTGAGCCTGCACAGGTGCCAGCACTGGGATAGTACCAGGAGAACAGGGCAGAGCCCCTCACCCAGAGCCCCCAGAGCCAGCAGCTTGCTTCCAGGAGCCATCCCACCTGTCCCTGCCAGGAGCCATCCCACCTGTCCCTGCTGCGTGTTCCCTGCTCCTGGCTGCTGCCGGCCCCAGCTTTCACGAGGCCGCAGAGTGAGCCTGAGCAGTGACCCGATGGGGTGAACTGAGGGGGCTTGTTTTGCCAGGTTAGGCTGAATCTGGATCACATCCACATCACCTCACAAACGCCAGTGCTGGTGCAGATGTGAGCGGCAGCAGCTGGGGCAGGGAGTGAGGCTGTGCTCCCGGCAGCAGCGCTGCCTCAGAGGGCTTGGGGAACTATAATATTCTCCTCCTCCCTTTCCCAGCACGTTAACTGGGATGTCAGCTTCTCAAGAGGGCAGTAGCAGCTGCTTTAATGGCCCTGAAACTCCACAGTAGTCCTTAGAAATCTTTCATATGTTCTTAAATGTCAGACCTCAGGGGGCCAATGGAATCACCTGCCTGGACTTCCTTTCCACAGGCATCCCTGTGCCTGCAGCCGGTCTTCCCTGGGATGTTCTGACTTGCCACAGCTATCTGGTGAAAGGGCTCTAACTGTGTCTGACAATGTGTTTCATGAACAAGTTGTTCTGACACAGGGCTGGATGTTGAACAACACAGGGAACTGTGGATCTCTGTCAGGGAAATGTTACATTTGATTTCATTCTTGTGCCCGTGGCAAATTCTAGGCAGGAAGGTTAAAACTAGTTCTGCTTCTTTCTAATTGCTAAGCTGTCCTCCATGTATTAGACTCAAAGCAGTATTAAATACCATTGTTAATAGCAAATTTTTTGTGAGAAGGCGATGGAGGAGAACGATTACACTTTTCTGAACCCTCTGCCATTAATGAGTTACAGTCATTACAGGTGATGAAGCTCAAGAAGCCCTACAGTGTGTAGTCATGCAGAGAAAAGGCTCCTGCCACCAGCAGTCTCTCTCAGTGGTGTGACATGGTCTGTGCATCACAGCGGGCACTTTATAACCCAGATCTGTGTGATAAATACTGACACTCACCTGGGTTTGTGTTAGTCCTACCTAATGATGCACAGGAGGGTTCTGACACATTTCAGTTGGAGAAAGTTGCTGTCCTTGCTAAGATTCCTCAGCCTGTCACAGTTCTGTCATTCCCATTTAGCACCAAGCCCTTTCCCTGTCAGTCTGGCTGGACACAGCTGCCTCAGGGCTCAGGACAGCACAGCACACTGCCTCCAATGGGACATGGAGCATGAAGAGCTGCCTATGGGCCTGAATTTCAATTTCAGCTCTGAAGGGATTCCCTCAGTCAGAGCACTGGCAATTTATTATCTTTTAGGTGCACTTTTGCTGTCCTTAAGTTCCTCCCCTCAGCTCTGCTCAGTGGGCAGCTCCACAGCTGCGTGGGTCTCACCTCAGTGACAATGACTCCTCCCTGTGGAACTGCTCCTGGGAGAGCATTTTAACCAGCAACAAGCAGTCCCAGAGCCAGGGCAGCAGAGTTCCTGTCTGGCTGCTGGTGTCCTGTCATCTGAGGCCACCAAAGTGATACACAGACTTGCTGTCACATGTGTGCTGAAACATGTTGGGGAACGTCAGCAGTGGCCTCAGGTGTGTTGGCAACCAGGTGGCTGAACAGGAAAGAAGGATCAGAAATACTATGATGATATTTAATGTATATAATGAATTATAAAATAAGTT